TGAGCATTTAAATTATCTTTTGTTTTTCCCAAAACATTTATCAATGTCCCCATTATATTGTCACAAACATTCTTTTCAATATGCATAACATCTAAATTATGTCATAGCAATAAAGTACTCCAATATGGCAATTGAAAGAAAATACTTTTCTTAAGCCAACCGGTTTGACACCCCATTTCATTTTTCTTCCTCTTCTTGGTATATTTCCCTAAGACTAGGCCTTCTAGATCATGAACCTGATGAAGTACATCTTCCCCAGCTAGTTGCTCAGGACAATGCCTAAATTCCTTACTTCCATCAAACAAATCTTTCTCACGTCTCCATCTATGTTTAATTGGTAAAAAGCGACGATGATCCAAAAAACAATATTTTTTTCCATGTTTTAAATACATGGAATTAGTCTTCACATTACAAGATGGGCAAGACAACTTTCCCTTAGTATTCCATCCTGATAAATTTCCATAAGCTGAAAAGTCATTAATTGTCCATAAAACTACTGCATGCATGTTAAAATTTTGTCTTTGTGATGTATCATAAGTTTCAACCCCTACCTCCCATAATTCTTTTAACTCTTGAATCAAAGGCTACAAATAAACATCAATATCATTCCCTGGACCTTTTGGCTCAGGAATCAATAATGATAGCATCATATAAGGATCCTTCATACACTTCCATGTGGCTAAATTGAGAGGAATTATTACTACAGGCCAAATACTGTATTGTGTACTCATGTTGTCAAAGGGATTAAAACCATCACTAGCTAAACCAAGTCTAATGTTGCGTGGTTCAAAAGCAAAGGATCATCAAACTTTTTCCATGCTTCTGAATCAGCAGGGTGTCTTAGAACACCATCACCCACATGCTTGTCATAATGCCATGTCATATCCGCCACTGTCTTTTTTGACATGTACAATCTTTTTAATCTTAAAGTTATAGGAAAATAACGGAGAATCTTTCTCAAAATTTTTTTACTCTTTAAATCATTGTTTTCCGATTTCCATCTAGAAGTGCCATAAATTGCACATTGCTCTAGATTTAAATGCTCATTCCAAAATAGCATACAATCTTTTTCACAAGCATCAATCTTTATATAATCTAACCCAAGGTCTTAGATGATCTTCCTTGCTTCATAATCAGATTTTGGCAATTGTACTCCTTCTGGAAATGCATCATTCAACAATTGAAGTAACATAGAAAATGATTTATTACTCCAACCATAGAGACATTTTATATGGAATAGTTTCATTAGAAATGACAATTTGGAAAGCTTCTTACAATTTGGATATAAGATTTGTCCAGAATCATTCAATAAACTAAAGAACTTGCTGGCATCTTCATTAGGTTCCTCTTCATCCCAAACCCCAAAATGATCCATTAACATGTTCTGTGTTGATTCCCTATCAGATTCATTAGTGTCACTTGATTCAGTAGATGCCATGTATAGATCCTCTCCATGCTTATACCATATTATATAATTTGAAACTATTCCATATTGTAGTAAATCTCCTTCAACTTCTTCACGATTTTTTTTCTTGCAATTATTGCACTTAACACAAGGACAGTAAATTTCATCTTTGTTTGAGTGCTCAAATGTAAAATTTAAAAAATCTATAACCCCTTTTCTATATGTAGGATGTGCTCTATTTTTAATCTGCATCCACTCCTTCTCCATGTTTAACTAGAAGCACATAATACATATCACTTAATTAGCTAACAGGAGGAAAAAGAAAGAAAAACAAATAGTACAAGGCATTCAATATTATGATTGTTCTATTTTAAAACTTTGCAAGTCAAATCAATAATGCAGGGGCTTTAACAAATAACAAGTAAGCTTTACATAAAAGACCGAAAGTTGGGAGAGAAGTCAATTACAGGATAATGAGCAAAAATTATTGCCATTATTTGTCATGCTTTAAAGAAACAATATCTAATAGAACACTATACAAACTCTTGACATGACACGGAACTATTATCATGTTTATTCTTCTATTGTATTTCTTTTAATACCTTCCTCAGTTTATCAACATTAAATGCTTTAATCAAAATTCTATTCCCAACAGCAAATATGTTAAAGACACAATCCAAAAATTGTCATATGAAACAAATATTGAGTCCAAGTCCCTTTAATATAGCTTTAAACAGGCTTATGACCAAATAGCTGAGGAATAAAGCTTTAGAGAAAAAGCATTGTTGACAAACAAATTAACATACCGGAGAAAATTTCTAGAGAAACAGCATTTACATTTATTTCTTATCTTTATAATGATTAAAGACAAGGAAACAAGAAAAACTCTATCTCTAACTCTCTGAGCCCCTAGCCATTTCCAATCAATTTCCATTTAATTCTTAGCCCTACATTGAAATATTGACTGCACTATGGTGTACTAATATACCATGGATCCTAATATCAAACTTGTACTTGTATAGGTGGAGCCTTTGACAAACATTGATAGATACCAAGGGTTGTTTCGGAAGTTGAATTATCTAACAATCACTAATCTCTCCTTGATTGTAAGAGTAGTGAGTCAATTCTTACAAAGCACCGTACTAGTCATTGGGAAGTAGTGCTATGTATCCTTGGATAAATTAAAGGGATACCTAGCAAAGGTTAACCATATGAGGATCACATGCAAATCCAAGCAGTATGATATGCCGACACAAATTGGGATGATTATTGGAGGAAATCATGCTCTGTTTTTCTTTTTGGAAAAGCAAGATATAAAATGTTTGAGGACGTTCTGGTAAAGAATTTAGATTTTCAACTAGTGAGAATCACAACATCAAATATATGGAATATATAACTACAGAATAAGGGCTGGATATAGCCAATAAACAAATCATTACAGTACCTTTGCTTTCCTGCTTCTTCTTTAAAAACCAATCCACCTGTTGAATAAATGGAATCACAAAAATCTTATCGAAATGCACAAAGCCACCGTCACTTAAAACAAGCACAGTCAGAAACCAATGGAATAGATGAGAGAAGAATACCTCTATGCTTCAAGTCAAGCGACATGAAAAAACAACTAACGTGTATGCAGCTTTTAGGAGCAATAACTGTACTATTGAGAATGGTGGGAAATAAAATAGTGCATTTGGCGGCAACTTCTAATTTTTATAAAATAAACATAAAATGAAAAATACTTTATATCATTTTATAAAATGAAAGAAAAATAAAGCTGAGTTACCTCATCGTTGGGAGAAAAAAAGCACTGCTCCAGATTATTCCTTCCTCACGCAACACGTTTAAACTAATTCATAGTTTTGTTCGAAAATTAGCTAATCATGGAACAAGGCATTGCGATGGCCTGTTTTCTGAGAAAGAGAAAGAACCTGGAGTGATTGGCTGAACCTAATTACCCTACCCGAGTGACTGGGCGGTTGATCAAGGGATACCGAAAAGAGGCAAACAACAGAAACTTGTAAATCATTGCGTGAACTTGTGTGGAATAAAAAAGAAGCACCATCAGAATCGAAGAAGCAGCCCTTCCTTGATGAGTTTAATGGGTTTTTCAAATATTAATTCCAAATATAATAATAATGTTTAATGTTTTATATTTTTTTGGAAGAGTTGTCAGTTTTTTTATTAAAAAAAATACTCACTTTTAAAATATTATAGATATAGATTATGGATATAGATATAGATAATGAAAATTAGTATAGATTATAAGTAGATATTTACATATATAGTTATTTTTTATTAATATGTTAAAAATATTTATTAATTAGGAGTATCAATAACCGAAGAGATATCATGCGGATAGAGGAGGATCAATGAATATCTTTTTTCAACATATTAATACTAAATAACTATATATCCAAACATCTATCAATATCAATAATCTATACTAAAAGTAAGTGTTTTACTTTGATTAAAAAAGTGATAAATCTTTCAAAAAATGTTAATTGGAAAAAAATTTAAAATATTTCTCTCTCCAGTTTTTTTTATAAGACATTTCTATCAATTTTATTAATATCAAGAAAGTTTATTAAAAATAAAAGTTAACAAAAATTTATTAAATATTAATATTTTTGACACTAAATAAAGAGGGTCAAAATAGTCATTGAAAAAGCTTTCTTCCAGTAGCGTTGAAAATATTATTTTAATCTTGACATGATACTTTGACGGTCATAATTATTTGTAAAAAATTCTATCATTTTTGACTTTAAGTTATGCCCGTCAATATTCTTAAGTTGAAAATACTGCATTTTGCTGTAGTGTATCAAAAAATGATAAACAAAGATGAACATTTATTGTCCCTTGAACAAAGCATCATTTCATGTGAGCAAATAATTGCCAAATTTTTGATGTTTTGTTGAAGTTTGGTACCTAACAACTGTGGTGGCTTTTAATATTTCATGCACTTTTATCTCACAAATTCAATTTATTATTACCTAAATCATTGCTTTTCCCGTCCCTTCATGTCGTTCATTCTTTTGATTGTTGGGATGAAACTTAAGCAATTTATACTAAATAAATTTTTAGAACATGAAATGAAAATAGATTGTCAACTATTGACATAAATGATTGAGAGGTTCAATGTTTAGAAATGTTAAATTTGATACAACCTATATTTAATCTCGAAAAAATGAATGGAAGTGAAGGCAAAATAAAAGTGGTAGTAATAATAATAATAATAATAATAATAGTAATAGTAATAGTAATAGTAATAATAACAATAATAAAGGCACTTCCATTTCGTCCTCCTCATTGTCCCCAGTCAAAAAGCTGTTCATATCATTTAAACTAATTCTAGTTCATAGCTGAATGCACAATGCTAAATATGAAAAACTACATGATCCTCGTATCACCTTCATTGGTAGTTCATAACCTGTGCGGATCAACTGTGAATGATTTTCAGCAATTTGAAGAAAAGTAAATTGTTGAAAGAACGGTTGAAGTAGAAGTAGAAGAGAGGGAGGGGCTAAGAAGATGAGTTATTTTTACCACTTACATTGTCTTTTTCTGTCTTCTCCCCATACTTTTACAGCTACTATGGTCAAGGAGAGTACGTGAAAGCATGAGCTGATGAAGAGGAGCAAGCAGTGGTAGTTGGGTGAAATGATTGAGATGGCAACACTCTTGCATCTCTTCCTTGCATATCACTCTCCACCCACATCCCAATATTATTCTCATGTTGATGATGCTGCTGAAAGAAGAAAGTAAAATATGAAGGGAGATTTCATGGCCTCTAAGTTGCCAACATGGTTTCTCATTTAATTCCAATACCATTGTGCAGATATAAGTAGTAATATCGGATTCCCAACGATTCATCATAGTATGGGCCCACTATTTGCAAATATAACCATCATCTTCTGCAGCTTTACTACTCCACCATATCATACTGGTCCAACCTGGAGGCATACAACAATTCCAATCCACTTTCTTTCATAGAAATGTTGAGGTATGTCCACTATTATCTCACATTCCTTTCTTTTCTTACCACCGTGATATAATATTCTTTATTTGCACACCATGATGGCAGTATTTCACTTCTAGCTGGCATAATTGCAAAAAAATCTCTTTGGGGCAAACAATCCGACTTCACCGATACTAAACTGTATTAACATTAACTACCCTTAATGGGAGCATGTCCCAATAATATACACAAATTAAAAAGAGATGGCCATACCTTAACGTGCTTAAACATCAATGATGTAACAGCATAACCATTGTGCCTCTCATTAGTATTTACATATTCAATTCGCCCACGATACTAAAAGAAAGAATTAATTATGTTATGTATATATAGTTAAAAAAATACACTTAAATCACTAAATACGTAGATTGTAGGAAGACAATTAGACAAACATATCTCGTGGTCACATGAAGCAACCAAATTCCATAACTCTCTATCTGATAAGGGTTCCACTGAATCACAACTGCTTGCATTTAACTGAATCAATCGTGTTGGAAGCTTTGGCAATGACTTGAGCCTTTTGCAATCATCCACAAAAAGATAGAGAAGTAGAAAGAGACTAGAGAAGCAATTCGTGGGCAGATTAACAAAATCATTTTCTCTAAGATCCAATACAATGAGTGATGATAAATGACCAAGATTATCAAGAATTGATCCATCATTTAAGCCACACCTACTTAAATATAACTCTGTTGGTGAAGTTACATTCAAGCCAGAAATTTGATGAGTTATGGGAGTCTTCAACAACTTGCCAAGATCAAGAATTTTGCACCCTGTCAAATCCAAATATTCAAGACTAGTCAAGAAACCAAGTGATTGTAGAAGTGTAGTTATAGCAGTATCACTTGTTATAGCAGTATCACTTGTATCAAGATAAGATAATTTTGTCATACCTTCCCCAAACTTTGGGAGCACTGCAACTTTTTCACAATGACTTAGAACTAACCTTTCCAAAGAATTTTTTTTCCAATTTTCTGGTAGGTTTTTAAGATTGCTACATGAACTCATTTCATCTCAATAAGTCTTTTCAACTCTCCAAGTGAAGGATGAACCTTTACAAGGGATTTGCATCCTTTAAGATTTAAATGTTCTAAATTTGGAACACTTGAGAAGTCTAGAGTTTGATCAAATTGAGAGAACGTCTCTGATCAATACGTTTCAACTTTTCCATAGACTAGACAAACAAAAGATTGGAGAGTCAGCCTCATTAAACAATATATCAATAAAACATGGACATGCAAATATATTTTTAAAATAGACAATGTTACATGAAACGTTGATCTCACCTGTCTACCATTCCAAAGTTGCTTTATTTTGCTTTCTTGCATCTCAATATGAACAAGTTTATCCAAGGGAAGTGGGAGACTTTGAGGAAACTTTGGCCAGCGAATAATTTTCAATGTACTAGAAAGTTTCAATTCCTTTAGTAAGATGAATTGATTATCAGTGTACTCTACTTTGAGTAGTTTCATTACTGATCTTTGAAAAGGCTCTAGGGTGTACTTTTTTTTCCTTGAGTTCTAAGAATAATATCTTTGAATAATAAAGCTTGTATTGCTTTAGATCCCTAATAAAATGTCAATTGCCATAAAAATAAGGTCAAAATGATAAGAAAGTAAAGTATAGTAAAAACTTGAGATCAATCTCTGTTAACAAAATGAGATATTTAGAAAGTAAAACCCTCACCATGTTTTTATTTTCCAATACTTCTTTAATGTGCTCTAACTTCCACAACCTGCTATAGTAGCCGACATTGGAGATTCTTGACGAATAATGTCCCTACCTAACTCTTCAAGTAAATCATGCATCTCTAAAGTGGGATATCCCAAAGAATCTTCCATTTCAACTGGTAAAGTTTTTTCAATGAAGATAGTCATACCAATTGTTGGGTTTAGATCACAACCTTCCAAAACTCGTGTTACTTTATGTTTCTTCCAAACTCTAAAGAAACAAGCAATATCCAAAAATATTGTTTTTTCTTCCTCATTTAATCCATCATACCTTATTTTAAGTATTTGAAGAATATCTTTATTTGGAATTTTCTTCAATACATCTAAAATATCGGTCCACTCAACTTTACTTCTTTTTCAAAGAAAAGAACCCACAACTTTAACTGCTAAAGGAAAACATCCTGCATATGCAACCATAGATTCAGACAACTCCCAATAACCCTCTTCAAGGTGATCTTTCTTGAATGCTTTCTTAGAAAGAGTTGAAGAGACTCGTCTTTCTCCATGGCTTTCAGCTCATATAGTTTTCCTCCACATAAGGTGAGCACATGACTATTTCTTGTTGTGATAATTATTTTGCATCCTTTACTAAACCAATTTGGATTTTCAACTAACTTCTCTAATTGACTTGTATCATCTAAATCGTCAAGGACAAGAAGAACCTTTTTATTGCAGAAAGCTTTTTTATCATCTTCGTTCCTTCATAATCATCATTAATTTTCTTATTTATCCCAAGATTAGAAAAAAGTTTTTCCTGCAAAGAAAGTAGGTCCTTTGTTTGCAGAGTTTCTCTAACATTGGCAAGAAAACACATTTCAAATTTGTCAGAGATTTCTTCATAAAAAACTCTCGCAAGAGTTGTTTTGCCAACACTACCCATACCCCATATCCCTACAAAGTGAATGTCATCCAATCTAATTCCAAACACAACATTAGATCAACCATTCTTTCTCTGTTCCAACCAGATTATCATCATGAGATGATAACTAGGAACATAAATGTGTTTGTATTGCTCCAACAACTTCTTTGATAAGGTACGCTTCAAGCTATAAAATAAAACAATAATGCAAGATATGACTCATCAAGAATAATGTTTATTAAAACTAGACATAACATCGCAGGTAGTAATGGGGAGATAATTGGATTGTGAATTGTGGGCAAGAATTGATCCAATGGCCTACAAGAATAAAAAATTGATGATGATTTTCCAAAAAATAAACTATATATTATAATTATAAAGCTAGATTAATTAATAAGATAAAATTATTGTATTTTTATAAATTGTTGGACAAGAATAACAACATGCATTGGTGGCTTAGTGGTATTTCTGTTGACCATTGTCATCTAAATTTAGGATTCGAGTCTTCACTATGGACAAAAAGGTAGATTTGATTTTTCTTTCTATTGCATGAAAGTACCATTTTGCCCCTAAAAAAAGATAAATGGAAGTGGCTGAGATTAAATCGGGTAGTTGCTCCTTCTTCCTCTTTTATTCTTATTTTTGAAATATTTGGAGTAGTTGAGAGAGAAAGAGAACGCTCTAATCGATCCTCCATCCTTTGCTCACCTCCGTTTCAGTTGGTCGTCGGTGTGGGGGTTCAAGTCACCGACAGTTGCTATTGCAAGGAATCTATTCAAAGTTGATCTACTCACTCCACGTTCAAGCTTCACCATCAATTCCTTCTTCTCCCTCCTTCGACGTCATCTGGTGATAGTGAGTAGAGATCTTCCTTCTTCCTTCTTCGTTCGTCCGTCATTGTTACGGGTACTGTTATGGGTTCACGATCTTCTTCCTCCTTTGCTCTTCTTTGACCATGCAATGGCTTCCCCTGCTTATTTTTAGTTCAATGTCATCACTGTGTTCAAGTGTGGGTGGTTTGGGTACGTCATGGGTACGTCATTTCATCCTCTATTTTTGCTTATTAATTTCCTCATCCTGCTATTAACTTTGTTAATCGAGGAGGGTTTTGGGGGTGTTATTTTTCTCACTGAGTATGTGAATGGGTTATGTGGCTAAGTTGTGGCTTATTTCTTGTTTTTGCTATGTGCAAAAAAGAGGAGTAATGGGATCTAAACAAGCTAAAATTTTAGTTCTAGGAATATGATTTTTGGTAGATAAATTCACTTGTGCTTATATTGAAGAAGAGGAATTAGATTTAATTTTCTTTAGAGCCCAATTAAATTTTTCCTCTTAAGGAATCGGAATTGGGTTGTTTGATTGAGTTCAATATTAATTTTGTGATTTGTAGGAGATGAGATTTAAGGAGAAGAGGCTTGGTGTTAGTCCAGAATAATGAATGATAAGTGTTCGATAAAAATGCCCCGAGGAGAGTTTTGCTTGATTATTTTATGTTTATGAATTTCATTAGTTATTGTGATAGATACATTTAGTTTGAGTGTTATTGATGCATGAATTTAATGTGTATGTTACAAATTAAAGAAATTTGATTATTATGACTTTGTATGTAACTTTAAATTCTTTAAGATAGAATGGTTATTAATAAAGTGTTGGGTAAAAAAATGGTAGGTTAGAAAATCTAATTGTATGGTTGGAATTATTGAGATCTTATCTACGCTCTGGAATTATTGAGAGTTATGAGGTTAAAGAGTTTACAAGTTATGTTATCAATTTAGAAGTTATACTTGGATGTTTGGAAATGGTGGTCAAGAGAATTGAAGATTATATGTTTATTCAATGGTTTGGGATGCTGTAAATAGATGTTTGGTAAAAGCCTAAGGAAAAACTTTTATGTGTAAATTTGGTTGCTAAAGTTTCAAAGTCTTTATTATAAATTTTCTTGAATGGATCTCTTAAAAAGAGACTTGTTGAGTCAAAAGTAAAGTGCACTAAAATCTTAATATACTTTATAAGGTAATTGTAAGGAGATTGTAACATCCTGATTTTTTATATAATAAAGAAATTGTGGAATTTAGGTTTTGAGAAAAAAATGATAATAATAGGAATTTATATTATTTGAGGTTATTTAGAAATAATATTATGGTTAGGTATTTAATTATGAATTTAAAAATTTAAATTTAAAACCACATAAGCAATATTTAGTTAAGATATAATACATAAATAATTTTTTTTATGTATGTGTTGAAAAAAAAACAGAGAGAGGTAGAAGGAACAAAAAAAAGGGGGGGAAGGTTGTTGTTTCTAAGTCCCACATTGGTTAGATGAGGGAAGAAAGAGGTGCCTTCATGTATAAAAAGGAGGGGGTGTGTGCATTAGGAAGCATGAGAGGCTAAGATGCAATTTAGAGAAAATTGCAACTTTTGGCCCAAAGGT